CTTAGGTACATTGCAATGGGTGCTTCATACACTTAGGCGACGTCTACACTGGCATGATCTTGCGCAAGAACTCTTTTGCAGAAGAGAGTGTCTACACTGGCATGTGCGTTTGCACAAGTGGTGTGCTTTTGCGCAAGAGCATCCATGCCAGTATAGATGCTCTCTTGCGCAAGAAAGCTCTGATGGCCATTTTAACTGTAGGGAGGTACATTGCAATGGGTGCTTCATACACTTAGGCGACGTCTACACTGGCATGATCTTGCGCAAGAACTCTTTTGCAGAAGAGAGTGTCTACACTGGCATGTGCGTTTGCACAAGTGGTGTGCTTTTGCGCAAGAGCATCCATGCCAGTATAGATGCTCTCTTGCGCAAGAAAGCTCTGATGGCCATTTTAACTGTAGGGCTTTCTTGCGCAAGAAATTCATGTTGCCTGTCTACACTGGCCTCTTGCGCAAGAACAGTTGCACAAGAGGGCTTATTCCTAAGCCAGATCATCAGAGTTCTTGCGCAAGAAGCACTGATTTCATACAGTAGAACGTCCGTGTACTTGCGCAAGAACTTGTGGCCAGTGTAGACAGGCAGCAAGTTTTTGCGCAAAAGCAGCTGCTTTTGCACAAGATCGCACCAATATAGACACAGCCTTGAGGTTTAAAAGTAAGCTCCCAATATGAACAGTGCTTCTAAACTTGTTACACCAACTAGTCAACACTTTGTAGAAACATTAGTTGGATCAAAAAATTGAAGCTTAATATATCATGTACAAATAAAATGTTATCTGGCAAGGAAAGAAATAAGATTACCATTAAGCTTGCTGCATGACTCAGGTTCCAATTCAGCAAGTGTTCAATCCTCTCAAATCCAATTATAAGACTGGGGCCTAATACAAGTACTTTTAGGAACTGGCAATTCAGTGACTAAAAACTATTTCATGCCTACCCTTTGACCTCATGTTGGGTTTAAAGGAGTCTTTGACATCAGAACAGTTCAGTGTCATGTATCTTCTTCCATAGGCACAGGAATTATGGGTGCAGGGGCGCTGCAGTACCCCCAGGCTCCCGACTGATGTCCTGCAGGTTTGGGGCTCTGCTGCCAGCCCTGCATACCGGGACCCAGGCTGCCACCCCATGTGCCAAGGGGCTTTGCTGCCAGGTCCACGTCTGGGGTCCCAGCTGCCAGCCCTGTGCACTGGGGGCTTTGCTCTTGGCTTCAGCTGGGGCCGGGAAGTGGAGAGAGGTCAGGGGGCTGGTTTTAATATCCCCACTCTTAATGTTCCCACACCACTATCTTTTTCACACTCAGTTTTAGAGAGGGAGACTGACTACATGATGGAAGAAAGGTTTTATTGATGTTGGGATGCCAACTTGCTCTAGGGTTACCAGGTGCCTTCAAAAGAAATACCGGACACACTTGATCTTAGATGGGGGAGGGGGAGAGGGAACCGGCCAGCAGAGGAACAGGGCTGGCCAAGGGGGACCGGCTGGCGGGAAGCAGGGCTGACGTTTTAGAGAGGGAGACTGACTACATGATGGAAGAAAGGTTTTATTGATGTTGGGATGCCAACTTGCTCTAGGGTTACCAGGTGCCTTCAAAAGAAATACCGGACACACTTGATCTTAGATGGGGGAGGGGGAGAGGGAACCGGCCAGCAGAGGAACAGGGCTGGCCAAGGGGGACCGGCTGGCGGGAAGCAGGGCTGACGGGGGAGGAGGGGTCGGGGGCAGCAGG